CTACATATATATAGTTTGAGAATGTAACAACTGGAGAATGACATACCACCAACAGTTATTTTAGATTGTCATTCGATATGTGAAATTTGTCAAATAGTTATGTAATAATGTCTCAACGGATATGTGAAAAGGTGTATTAATGAGACGAAAATAATTTTACAACTACTAATAAATAATTAAGACCTGCACCCAGAAAACATGTTTATTGGTATATTATTATCGTTTCGGTCATGTAGCGAATTTTAGGAGTTTAAGTTTTAGAATCAGTAGTTTAGACATTTCCAAGACACTTTTTTCTATAGCGTTTTCTTCGGAAATGTATATTTTTCGAGTATTCTAATCGATAAAATTACCAACAATATTATTTGTTCAAAGTAGGCAGAGCTCTGAAGTAGAGGGGAAATGTGGAGTAAAATACTAAAAATAACACCAACTCCCTGTGGTGAATATGACTTGTAAAAATAATATTCGTGAATGAAAAAAATTTACCCACCCAACCTTAAGAGAAAACATACTATTTTCAATGTTGGTGAATTTTCTGGGGTAACGATGAAATACATTCAAGATTTGACTAGCTTTACGAAGGACTATTTTCGCGGGAAAAATCGGCAAAAAATGAATGTGTTACCAATTCTGTTGTACAAAAATGGGTATTATTATCGTTTCAGTCATCCAGCGAATTTTAGAATTTTAAGTTACCGCCGTTGGAGAGAGGTTTAGGTTAGGTTAGGTTAGGTTGAAATTATGTAGTCCGATGGTTTTTTTAAGTGTTTTTGAACGATTCTGACCTATTTCCAAATTGGTGGATAACCGATACGATAATTTTACCCAGAAATGGACAGGGTAATATCGGGTTAATATTTAGAAGTTGCTAACACCTACTTATATACTGAGTCATATAGAGAGGAAGAGAGAAAAAAAACATAGAAAATAATTTATACTATCGCGTTTCCGTAGGAAATTTATATTTTTCGAGTATTTTAACCGATAAAATTACCCACAATATTAGTTGTTCAAAGTGGGCAGGGCTTTGAAGTAGAGGGAAAATGTGGGGTAAAATACTAAAAATTCACCAAACAAACCCTTGACAATTTTACCCAGAAGTGTGCTGGAACCGGTTCAGTTACGTTCGCCCGAACCGGTTGTTAAATTTTGATTGGATCATCGAACCGTTTGCTACGTTTTAACAAATATTTAACAATCAGTAGAAATTTATCTTGAAATCTCCAGACAAGCCCTTATTTTCCTTACTATTACCTACTCCATGTGACACAAATTAGAGAAAAGTTAAAAAAAAAACCTTAAATTTTAAATACAACCACTGAAGTATCGCATTATTATTTCCCGCATTCAGTTTCTATAGAAAAAACCCTTAGCACATTCCAAAACTATTCACTCACGAGGTCTTCTTCGTTCACCGCCGAGTTCGCCAACTCTTCCCCACCCACTGACTGCAAGTCTGCAACTGACCGGTTCACCAAATATATATCATTGCCATCGAATCAGAATTTGAGATCAATATGCCGATAATCAATCTTATTTCACTTAAGGCATTACGATATTATAATCACAAGCTCAGATAGCCCAAAGACTACCCATTTTAACGACGTATTTTTTTTGCACCAGTCAACATTGTTTATACCCTATTTATTGTACTAATGCTATATTTCGAATGCTTTCTATTGGCCAAATTCCATGAAATGAACTTACATATTTTTAATGATTGGAAATTAGCGACTTATTAGGTTTGGTACACCTGTCTTGGGCAGAGTAATGTAGTCTTCTAGACTGCGTGCACCAGTGCGTGTCACTAGTGTTGATCTCAAGATCAGTGATCGTGTTGTTGACGTTAACTTGAACTGAGACGAACTAAATGCGGTTTGGAAAAGCTAAAATGTGTCTTGGCTTCCGGGACTCCAATCCGGTCCCGCTGGGGGAGGTACTGCTCACCCCAGACCCCCAAGGCTGGGGCCATTGGCGCTCGTCGATTTGCACCACTATCTGAATCAGAACTGTTTGTTAAGAAACTGGCAGCACACCGCTGACCCTACTTTACCTTTCCTAACCTATAAAAATGTTAAGAATCGCTTACGAGTTTCTTGATACCTCCTCATCTGAGCATCGATAACAACACCATCACATACTAAACACCGAAAACATGAATCAGGCAAGCTTTTTATAGTTTTGGGATTTTTAAAGGTTAGGAATGTTGGGTAAGGTTTCATTCTTTTTTCTATTTTACCCCAAGCTTTGCCTCTACTTCAAAGCCCTGCCCACTGTGAGCAAATAGTATTGTTGATAATTTTATCGGTTAACATACTCGAAAAAATATAAATTTCTAGAGGAAACACTATATAATAAATAATTTTTAGTTTTCTTTCTTTCTCCCTATATGCACAAATATATAAGTAGGCAATGGCAACTTCAAAATATTTACCAAATATCGACATGTACAGTCGTGTCGTGAAATTTGGTGAAAACATACTCTGTATGCCGAAGGGCTTTTGGTGCACTCTGCCATGTGGTAGGGCTCTCATAATGTTACACGAGTTGTATTTAATCTTCGGACAAAACCGTGACACGACTTTTGTCTTTGATTGTACACAAAGCTACTATATGGTAAAGTGTTGCCATATTAGGTTAGGTCATGCTAGGCTTAGTCACGTTAGGTTGGGTAAGGTTAGGTAAGGTTAGGTAAGGCTAGGTTAAGGTATGTGTTCTATCAACTTATTCTTTGTGTATTTTGATGATCTAATGATCGTCTGTGGTCAGTTAGAAGTATTCCCCAAAAGACAAAAAAGGAAGTACATATACCTGTAAGCTATCGCCATTAGGCAATTATCCCGAATATATATATATATATATATATATATATATATATATATATATATATATATATATATATATATATATATATACCTCAATATTCGAATATATATATATATTGGGCTAATATATATATATATATATATATATATATATATATATATATATATATATATATATATATATATATGTATATATATATATACATATATATATATATATATATATATATATATATATATATATATATATATATATATATATATATATGCTAATAACCACCAGGAAAGAAGAAAACACGAAGTTCCCAAGCGCTTTCGTGTAATTCACATCTTCAGGGGTGAGTACAGACTAAGGAGGAGTACAAAACCAGGTGTATATATACAGAGGAGGGTGAGACCAGGTCCACAATGGTCAGGTATTAGGTAATGACCATACTAATCTTTAAATAGCACGGCAACGTTCCGTAGTCAGGTCAGAGGTGACCCAACCTTCTCACCTGGTTACAAATTTTCTTAATTACAAAATTGCCCAGTTTGTACATGCCATTACTCAAATTCATGTTGAATGCTTCGGTATGTTTAATGAGACTAGATTCTATGATGTTCCTACTATCAATTGAATTACAAGGTAATATTGAGGAGGCATTATCCCAGTCAATGCAATGCTTGTTATCCCTCAAATGAACAAACAGAGCATTGGATTCCTGGCCTGTCCTAACACTATATTTATGTTGTTTAAGTGCATGAGTTTTTAAATGCCACATTGACGTTCCAGGTGGCATTTAAAAACTCATGCACTGTTAAACAAATGTTAATCAAGAACTCCCCCAACAACACAATTGGTTGCATTTATAAAGTTCCTTGCAAGGAATGTAATATGTTTTACTTAGGCCAGACAGGTAAAGATCTTGCAACTAGAATTAAACAACATAAATATAGTGTTAGGACAGGCCAGGAATCCAATGCTCTGTTTGTTCATTTCAGGGATAACAAGCATTGCATTGACTGGGATAATGCCTCCTCAATATTACCTTGTAATTCAATTGATAGTAGGAACATCATAGAATCTAGTCTCATTAAACATACCGAAGCATTCAACATGGATTTGAGTAATGGCATGTACAAACTGGACAATTTTGTAATTTAGAAAATTTGTAACCAGGTGAGAAGGTTGGGTCACCTCTGACCTGACTACGGAACGTTGCCGTGCTATTTAAAGATTAGTATGGTCATTACCTAATACCTGACCATTGTGGACCTGGTCTCACCCTCCTCTGTATATATACACCTTGTTTTGTACTCCTCTTTAGTCTGTACTCACCCCTGAAGATGTGAATTACACGAAAGCGCTTGGGAACTTCGTGTTTTCTTCTTTCCTGGTGGTTATCAGCATATACCTAGATTACGCGCACCTACAGTGATTTACTTGCATATATATATATATATATATATATATATATATATATATATATATATATATATATATATATATATATATATATATATATATATATATATATATATATATATATGAGTGTATGTGTGTGTGGAGGAGGTTCAAACTTTAAGTATAAATTATTTTGATATAGTAAAAGAAACAAAAAACAGAAATGTGCCTATATACGATATAGGGAAGGAGTGGATGATGTTTTGTACCTGGGTTGCCTGGCTTGCCAGGAAGGCCAGGACGTCCTATTCGGGCCCGGCCTGGTGGGCCAGGTGGGCCATGCAGCCCCCGTGTCAGTTCCTCCATGCGGTCTGTGGGAAACAAGCGTCAGCCGCCTCTGTCGTCATCTGACAGGGTGGGCTGGGGGTGGGGTTGGGTGGGGTGGGATTGGGGGCAGCTGACAGCTGGAAAGTTATCACCGATGAGTACTGCATCATTCCGCGTGCTAATAATTAGGGCTACACACTCCTTGGTTCACGCCTGGTTCAGAGAAATTCCTTCCTGGTGCTTAGGAAGTTCAGTTGTAAATTCAGAGGAGTTTGAATAAAACACAGACTAGCCACTTTACCTTTTACATACACTCACATATTGATATCTATTAATGCAAAATCCTTTAGTTTCATTAGCTGTTAGAATAAGTAAGAGGTAAAGATGCTAGGGTGTAACGGGTGAGGCATCAGAACAACAGCGGCAGGAAGGATAGAACAATATAATGCAGTTCCAACCTGGAGCACCAACTTCCCCTGGTTCACCAGGTGGTCCACGCTGTCCTATGCCGGGTATGCCAGGGGGGCCTCGCAAGGTTTTGGCTATCTCAGCTAAGTTTTCTGGAGATAAACAAGTATTAATGTTTCGAACTTAATATTATACCCACACTTGTATCACTGATGCAAGTGAATACAACTTACCATCCTTCCGATCTTCAAACTGAATTTAATAAGAGCACAATATAAACTTAATAGCAATTCCTATCCTAAGTAATGACAAGAAAAGAGTACAGAGCACTGTACAGTACTCACATTATCTGCTCCTTACTTCACTAGGGCCAGAGTCCATCAAAGATAAAAACAAAATCTAGAACCGATATCACCATGTTTTTAGTCCTTGAATTAAGTGCCTGTGAGGTGAAGATTTATGTTAGTGTTCGTAAAAGCATGTAACTTGTACGAACATGTGATTACATCTGAAGCTTTATTTTTCATTGGTGAGTGCCGCCTTCTGTACAGTATTCTAGTTTTATTTCAGTATTTGTTTCATGTGCACACACTAATAATTGTTCGTTATATTTATATCCATGTAATGTACATGTACACACATGCAATATTATATATTCTGACTCTTGAGGTGGGTTAGGCATTATTTTCGACCTCCTGTAATCCGATTTTCCGTTTTGGTAATAAGTTTGATAAAACTTGGATTTGACCAACACGAGACCCTATCGCACATAAGACCCTATCGTACTTCTTTACTAGTCACATATAAAGCACATTTGTTTTAACACTTGACTTTAGCCTTCCCTATTACGGTAGTAGGTAGTAGGCAGCTATCAAACAGGGAGGTATTACCGCCTGGGAAGATACTGGAAGCATAATGTGTTGACTAATGGTAGACCCTGCATCCATATGGCATCACAAAAATTGTGACGAAGTCCCAGGTTGCTGATCTGACTTTCTGCCTCGTTTACACACAATTGCAGGGTCTCAATTGTCTCTCTTACCATTGATAACACAACATATATAACTTTTCTCACTCTTGATCTGTTTTATTCATTCTATTCTTTTATTCTTCTATGATATCAGTTGACCATAATATTACAGCCGGGCCTTCTCGGATGGGTCCCACTGGTCGGGAAGGTTGTGGACCCCAGGGCCGACCTGATCATCATCAAACTACTGGGGCCTCAACTGACGCCACCGAGGTTACTGGAGGATCGGCTTTTTTCACACTTCATTTTTCCAAAATTCGCGGCCTGAGATCCAATTTTTCTTCTGTGGAGCACCATTTATTTACCTCTTTCCCCGATCTCTTACTACTATCTGAACTTCAACTGACCAAAGCAGCTTTACCCAAACCCTTTCAAATCTCCAACTACAACCTCTATGAGGTAACAAGCTGAGGACGCCATCTTGGAATGACGCCATATGGTCGTGGTGTCTCGAATAGCTTCAAGGACTGACATTGACCCTCAATCTTTCGAGCTGATCGGCTCCGCTTAATGTAAGTCTACGGATTTGGTGGCCATATTTTCAAAAACCTTTCCAGAGTTATTCGTTTTCTTCAATCAAGTCTCCGGTATTAGGTATGTCACAAACATACGCTAGTATTATACTCACAATAACATTTGCTACAGCACAACATTACACGTTAGGCTTCTTGTCAGGTTATTTATAATCTATAAGTGTCTTACTTATTTGTATATATAAATATACTGAAGAATTTTTCTCCTTTTCTTTTATAGATATTTTAATTATTTTACTGATATTTTATATCATTTACTATAAGTGAATAAGCAAGGTTATACTGAACACGTAAATTTGCAAGAAACACAAACGCGTTTAGAGCGTGACGATTTAAACCATAGAACCCTAAGGTCAGGTCGTACATACGACACCAAACCTAATTGTGGGCAAGTTCCTTCTCTTTCTACAGAGTCTGATAGTGTGTCACAGAATCGTTCTTTCCCTCCAGGATCCAGTAGTGTTGCAGTTAGGCATAAGTTAACTAACAACTCCTTAACCATGGCTACAAATAATTCAGAAGTGCCTTTTTCCAAGACTCAAAATCTGCAAGTCATACCACTGGACGATCGCATTCGCGAGTTTATGGCGGAAGATGATTATCGAGTGACATGTGAGGATGCGATGAGCACCATCCAAATAACGAGAGAGGAAGAACGCAAGTCTTTTGTACGCGGGCACATCAGAGTAGGCAGTTATGCTAGCAAACATTTAGACACTAGTGGTCTTGCACATCCTACATATGAGAAGTTTAGGAAGTCACTCATTGGTCTCTTTGAATTGGGATCAAAGCAAGATCACCTGAATTGGATTTTTAGACGGGTTGATCGTATTCCCAGCATGATACGCGCAGAAGATACCGTGACGTGTGTTTCGTTTGCTGGCGAAGTTCAACAGGATATCATGGCTACTTTTCGTCGTTCAGCCTGGGTGGACTCGCAAGACCATATTGTCCATGGAAAATTTTGCACAGTTGATGGAATTTATTTATTTTCTACTTGCCTTTCGTGACCCAGTATATAAACAGGCGAAGGCAACTAATTACAAGCCAGTTATGATATTCTGGATTATGCAGCTACGCTCGCTATTAAGTCACCATGCACTCCGCTAGCGAGGACGGTAACAACTGTGGCGCCAAGTAGTTCAACAACGAGTTCCCAAGAATTCGGCCCCAAACATGAAGCAACAGTTAGTATACACGCATTGTAAGAAGAATGGGAATACAGTTGATTTTTGTTACCAGCCCCAGCGTAGTGGTGCTAAATCTAAGAATAAATCAACTTCTCAATCAAGACACCGACATGACCCATTTAAGACTTATGCAGCAGCTGCTCATCCCAGGTCTGATTCAGACCAGACAGCTGATATGTGGTGTTTATACTATGAGTCTCCCGCCCATACTACGGAAGAATGTCCAGCACTCCGACGATGTAAGGAGATATGGATTGATGTATCACAGGTAACCAAACACCGGAAGACGCGTTGTCGTCGTTTTTATATGAAGTCGGGGTTCAGACCGACGTGGGTTAGGTACTCCAGTACCGATGTACGACAACACCTCGGTTGCAGCCTCTTTAATAGCAGTGCTGAGCAAACCGAACGTGTTATTGGTTTCGGCGAGGGTTGGGTCAGTCATATTGAAAAACTACATGAAGTGTTCCAAAACTTTTCACGGCAGGACTAAAAGTCAAACTGTCTAAGAGCGAATTTGTAAAATCTAGAATACAATTCCTTGGTCATGTAGTTGACGGAAGTGGAATTCATACAGTTGATGCAAAAGTTAAAGCTGTAGCAGTTCCCTCGTCCTACAAACATTGATAAGGTGCGTAGTTTTTTAGGTTTGTCTTGATATTATCGTTCTTTTATTAAGGGTTATGCGTCGCAATTTTTGTTTGGAATGCGGAACAAGAGGATAGATTTATTGCATTGTAGAACGCACTTACCAATGGGCCCGTCTTCGCATTCCCTGACTACACTCAACCAAGTTACTTCAGGGTGTGTGTAAGCAACCTCATCCTGTAACTTACCTGTGTCGTGTACAACAACAACCTGTGTGTTACTGTACGTCTTGTGTTAGTCATCCTGTAACTTATCTGTGTCGTGGACAACAACATCTGTTATCAGATTTTTTTGATCTTTGAAACAGCAGCTACTAATAAAAATATATTGTACATTATTTATACTTCTGTTGCTATAATTATTAAAATATGAATATTCTTAAAAATTTGAGGTACAGGTGAAAAATTTGTGCTTCTTTGACTCACCTCTTAAAACTGAAGCGCATATTCCACGTAACTCAGCCTCTGTGTATTCGCGACCCTTAAGGAAGAAAAATATAACTGGTACATTTTACTATGTACAAGACAGTTTGAGACGAGTTACCATGTATAAGATTGAGACGAGGTAACATACTAGTCAGAGACGATGTACCATGTACAAGTGTTAGATGCGTTACCATGTACAGATGTCAGATGTGGTTCCATGCACAAGTGTTAGACGAGTTATCATTTACAAGTGTGAGTGTATGTACTGTATAGGGACAACTGGTGTTTGAATGTGTTTGGTGACAATTGATGGATGAGTGTATGTTTGGAGACAACTGGAGGATGAGTGTATGTTTGGAGACAACTGGAGGATGAGTGTATGTTTGGATACAACTGGAGGATGAGTGTATGTTTGGAGACAACTGGAGAATGAGTGTATGTTTGGAGACAACTTCAGAAAACTGGTTAAACTTTTGTCGTCGTGCTGATAAAGTGAATCCAGAGAATGCTATTTGTTCCGTCCACTTTACCAAACATGACTACATTGATGAAGTGAAGTCTCGTTGGGCTAGGAATTGAAAGTCCTAAGAACAAGAGACTCTTAAAGGTGAATACTGTACCCGCTCTCTATCTGTATAATGATAGGTTTTGTCATAATATTATTCCGCATGTTGGAATAATTAATATGAAATCAATAATAGATAAGTAAAAAATATATGTAATATATGATTCATACTATTTCTAATGTCCATTAATTTCCAAACGGGGACTGTTGATCATAATGAGCATTCTTAAAAGAATTTAATGAAATTATAGCAAATAAAGAAAAAACAATACTATGAAAACAGCTACTGGTAAAAGTGGTGAGATCTACTTATGTTACTCTTCAGCTGTAACGTAACCTGAGACACTCTTCAGCAGTAACATAACCTGAGACACTCTTCAGCAGTAACATAACCTGAGACACTCTTCAGCTGTAACGTAACCTGAGACACTCTTCAGCAGTAACATAACCTGAGACACTCTTCAGCAGTAACATAACCTGAGACACTCTTCAGCAGTAACATAACCTGAGACACTCTTCAGCAGTAACATAACCTGAGACACTCTTCAGCAGTAACATAACCTGAGACACTCTTCAGCAGTAACATAACCTGAGACACTCTTCAGCAGTAACATAACCTGAGACACTCTTCAGCAGTAACATAACCTGAGACACTCTTCAGCAGTGAGACACTCTTCAGCAGTAACATAACCTGAGACACTCTTCAGCAGTAACATAACCTGAGACACTCTTCAGCAGTAACATAACCTGAGACACTCTTCAGCAGTAACATAACCTGAGACACTCTTCAGCAGTAACATAACCTGAGACACTCTTCAGCAGTAACATAACCTGAGACACTCTTCAGCAGTAACATAACCTGAGACACTCTTCAGCAGTAACATAACCTGAGACACTCTTCAGCAGTAACATAACCTGAGACACTCTTCAGCAGTAACATAACCTGAGACACTCTTCAGCAGTAACATAACCTGAGACACTCTTCAGCAGTAACGTAACCTGAGACACTCTTCAGCAGTAACATAACCTGAGACACTCTTCAGCAGTAACATAACCTGAGACACTCTTCAGCAGTAACATAACCTGAGACACTCTTCAGCAGTAACATAACCTGAGACACTCTTCAGCAGTAACATAACCTGAGACACTCTTCAGCAGTAACATAACCTGAGACACTCTTCAGCAGTAACATAACCTGAGACACTCTTCAGCAGTAACGTAACCTGAGACACTCTTCAGCAGTAACATAACCTGAGACACTCTTCAGCAGTAACATAACCTGAGACACTCTTCAGCAGTTACATAACCTGAGACACTCTTCAGCAGTAACATAACCTGAGACACTCTTCAGCAGTAACGTAACCTGAGACACTCTTCAGCAGTAACGTAACCTGAGACACTCTTCAGCAGTAACATAACCTGAGACACTCTTCAGCAGTAACATAACCTGAGACACTCTTCAGCAGTTACGTAACCTGAGACACTCTTCAGCAGTAACATAACCTGAGACACTCTTCAGCAGTAACGTAACCTGAGACACTCTTCAGCAGTAACGTAACCTGAGAAACTCTTCAGCAGTAACGTAACCTGAAACACTCTTCAGCAGTAACATAACCTGAGACACTCTTCAGCAGTAACGTAACCTGAGACACTCTTCAGCAGTAACATAACCTGAGACACTCTTCAGCAGTAACATAACCTGAGACACTCTTCAGCAGTAACATAACCTGAGACACTCTTCAGCAGTTACGTAACCTGAGACACTCTTCAGCAGTAGCATAACCTGAGACACTCTTCAGCAGTAACGTAACCTGAGACACTCTTCAGCAGTAACGTAACCTGAGACACTCTTCAGCAGTAACATAACCTGAGACACTCTTCAGCAGTAACATAACCTGAGACACTCTTCAGCAGTAACGTAACCTGAGACACTCTTCAGCAGTAACATAACCTGAGACACTCTTCAGCAGTAACGTAACCTGAGACACTCTTCAGCAGTAACATAACCTGAGACACTCTTCAGCAGTAACGTAACCTGAGACACTCTTCAGCAGTAACATAACCTGAGACACTCTTCAGCAGTAACATAACCTGAGACACTCTTCAGCAGTAACGTAACCTGAGACACTCTTCAGCAGTAACATAACCTGAGACATTCTTCAGCCTGAGACACTCTTCAGCAGTAACCTGAGACACTCTTCAGCAGTAACGTAACCTGAGACACTTCAGCAGTAACGTAACACCTGAGACACTCTTCAGCAGTAACGTAACCTGAGACACTCTTCAGCAGTAACGTAACCTGAGACACTCTTCAGCAGTAACATAACCTGAGACACTCTTCAGCAGTAACATAACCTGAGACACTCTTCAGCAGTAACGTAACCTGAGACACTCTTCAGCAGTAACATAACCTGAGACATTCTTCAGCAGTAACGTAACCTGAGACACTCTTCAGCAGTAACGTAACCTGAGACACTCTTCAGTAGTAACATAAGCTGAGACACTCTTCGGTAGTAACATAACCTGAGACACTCTTCAGTAGTAACATAAGCTGAGACACTCTTTAGTAGTAACATAAGCTGAGACACTCTTCAGTAGTAACATAACCTGAGACACTCTTCAGTAGTAACATAACCTGAGACACTCTTCAGTAGTAACATAACCTGAGACACTCTTCAGTAGTAACATAAGCTGAGACACTCTTCAGTAGTAACATAACCTGAGACACTCTTCAGCAGTAACATAACCTGAGACACTCTTCAGTAGTAATATAAGCTGAGACACTCTTCAGTAGTAACATAACCTGAGACACTCTTCGGCAATAATATAAGCTGAGACACTCTTCAGTGGTAACATAACCTGAGACACTCTTCAGTAGTAACATAACCTGAGACACTCTTCAGTAGGAACATAACCTGAGACACTCTTCAGTAGTAACATAAGCTGATACACTCTTCAGTCGTAACATAACCTGAATCACTCTTCAGTAGTAACATAACCTGAGACACTCTTCAGTAGTAACATAACCTGAGACACTCTTCAGTAGTAACATAACCTGAGACACTCTTCAGTAGTAACATAACCTGAGACACTCTTCAGTAGTAACATTACCTGAGACACTCTTCAGTAGGAACATAACCTGAGACACTCTTCAGTAGTAACATAACCTGAGACACTCTTCGGTAGGAACATAACCTGAGACACTCTTCAGTAGGAACATAACCTGAGACACTCTTCAATAGTAACATAACCTGAGGCACTCTTCAGTTGGAACATAACCCCATACATTTATAAGAACAAGGGAGACAGGTCAGACTGTGGCAACTTTTGCTGGATCTCGCTGCTGTCCATAGCTGGCAAGATTATCACCCGATTCCTCCTAAACAGCCTTCTTCCTGAGGCGAAAATTTTTCTCCCAGAATCTTAATTTGGCCTAGACCACCACGTATCATCTCTGACATGATCTTTGCTGCCCGCCAGATACAGGAACAGTGACTTTTACATGGCTTTCGTCGACCTTACTAATGCCTTCGACTCGGTCAACAGGGCAAGCCCTCTGGCGGACTCTCAATCGTTTTGGTTGTCCACTAAAATTCATCTCTTTTGTGAGGCAACTCCACGATGGCATGAACAGCAGTGACCTGCACAATGTCACCCAGTCTGAATTCTTCCCCATCCAAACGGCTGTCTTCCTTACTTGTGCCAGCGCCAATGCCTTCACTAGTAATATAACCTCAGACATCCTTCAGCAGTAAAATAAACATTGCCGGGTTTTTTACCCATGAAACGCCATAAACAGGGAAATGAACAAGATAATTGTAAATCAACTCTTAAGTCTCATGTCTAACACTTATAACATAGCTATCATGCTGGGGAAAATGCGCCATCGTTCATTATATTCAATAAATATAATGTAAATTACGCAGGAGCAGTTCGTGATCCACTTTGCGTGCAACATTGCCACGATTACTGAATTAAAATAGTAGGTTGATGCGACCAATACAATGGTGAATATTGTGCCTCATTCTTGAGAGTTGTCCCACATCCTTAACATAGCTAAAGCTGCCTCCCGAAAGTTCGAAATGCTGTACAGATGCCGTAGCTACTTCAATCCTGAGCAGTTGCTTCAAGCATATAAGGGATTCATTCGTTCTCACTTGGAGTACTGCTCTCATATCTGGGGTGGCTCTTCTTCTATCCAACTGTTAGATAGGGTGGAATCAAAGGCATTTCGTCTTATTAGCTCTCCTCCTTTAGTCGACAATCTTTCTTCCCTTTCTCTTCGCCGCAATGTTGCTTTACTCTCTCTATTTTACAGGTACTTTAACGGGCAATGTTCGGTGGATTTGGCATCCTGTGTACCGCCGGCAAGGCCGTGGGCTCGTAACACACGTCTTGCCCGCGGTGCCCACCATTTCTCTGTGGATGTCGGTCACACTAGAATAACCCGTTATAGTACACCCTTCTTTCCTCACACAGCCAAACTGTGG